TGGGACGGGATTCAGCGGCGGAACTGGTGGCTGAACTTTTCAGGTCCGTTTCTGATGCAAACGCAATAAGCGGCATGTGGACTTCGGCGACGGACAATCGAATCAAACCAAAGTTCATCCCCCTAAAAGAAATGGTTTGTTTCTGTTCTCTTTTTTCTTTCTGTTGTTATGTTTGGTTGCCTTCATTTCTTCCCCGCATGGGGGGACGTGAAAGAGATAAAACGACGCGTTCAACATTTATCTCTGAGGGTAAAAAGGCACCGTTTAATCTCAGCCTGTCGCATTCGCGATAAAACGTCTGGTTGCCATGACATCACGCACTATGCAAATTGTTAATAAGGTCCTATAGGTCTGCAATGTCCCTTTTTTAGAATTAGTTTCAGTGTCATGGTAGAGCCACGGGACCAGGGTCAGCCTGAGACGGCCAGCCAATCACACGCAAGCACATCTCAGCAGTGCTCCGGAGCTGTGCATTCTGGGTAATGGGTCATATAGCCAGCAGGCCACAGGAAACACACAAAAAAAAAACAAGCTGAACATGATGGGTGTCCTGAGCAAAACAGATGGGCAAACGGAGCGAGGCAGTGGCAGGGCAGGTAACATGCCCCCCCGCTATCAGAACCAGTGTTTGACCCTGACCAGAGGGCCTGGAGCTTACAAACAATGGGCAGCTTGGCATCTGGGCTGGGCGAGTTTCCCAGAACTTTTTAACATAATCAAACACAAAACAGACGGGCGTACCTGGTGAAGCCCCCCCACTGCAGAGTGCAGTTCACGCTTCTCTGTCCTACTCTTTACTTTTCCCTGGGCAGGAAACACTCACACTATTGGCCTTAAAGCGTGTCTCCTTGACAGCTAACGGCTCCTGGGTTTCGCTCCCATTTCACAAGCGTAAGAAACCCACCACCCCGTCTGCCATCTTGTTCCACGTCACCAGATTACCGCTCTCATCTTCACCTTCCTCTAGGGGAGTTCGGGGACGGCCGAGGCCACAGGCGCTGACTGGAAACCCAGAAACCACCAGATGTTTATCGGAGGGGCTTTCGAGGGGGGGGGGGGGGGGGGGGGCCCGCCGGCATCACAGACGTCAACGTCGCCGCAAACGGATCCTCCCGCGCTCCATTTCACTGCAGAGGAGCTCAGAAGTCAAAGGAGGCAGAAGAAAGCGCTTTTTAATCAGACGGCGAGCTGGCGACCGAATGATTAGCGTCTTAGCGTAGCTTAGCTTCTCCTAGCGCCGCTTCCGGCGTCACCACCAGCTTGCATAAATGAAGGTTTGGGCAAAACTACGATAAACTGCAAAAACAGAAACACCAACATTTGATACTAATGCCAAAATCAATGATAAAAAACACTGCGGGGGGGTGTGATCAGTTAATGTGGTGAGAAAGCTGTATAACAGAAGCGCATATCAGGAGCCCTGTGCCTCTGATCAGTCTTATGCTGAAATTTTTAATGTTTCAGAAACGTAAGATCAACCATAAATCTGGCTCCCAGTGTCTTCCCACAGTCTAATCTCTAAATTTACCATAGTATCTGTGTGTGTGTGTGTGTGTGTGTGTGTGGATTATGTTTATATTACATTGTGGGGGACCAAATGTCCTGTTATTTTGACGTTGTGGGGACCATTTCTCAGGTCATGCGAAACGTCTCGTATTTAGTTTGGTTACTTATGGTTAAGGTTAGGGTTGGGTAGAAGTTAAGGTCGACATGTTGGGATTAGAGTTTTCCCCATAGAAATGAATGGAGAGTCCCCACAAAGATATAATCACAAACCTGTGTGTGGGTATGTGTGTGTGTGTGTGTGTCTTTGTGTGCCCAGCAATGGACTGGCATCCCATCCTTGGTGTCCCACAGCCTGCCTGGGATGGGATCCAAACCCTCCCCCACGATCCCAACATGACTGGCAGTTGGATCGATGGTATTTCAATCACATGCAAGCCCAATGCTAAGTCCCTTAGAACCATGCTATTTCATCTCTTCATGTTTGATAGAGATTTAACGAACATCATTATAATCTTAAAACTTCACTATGGCATGTTTTTAAAACGCACGCAAACACTCAATCAAGAGTGACAATCTACCAGAGGTATAACCTGGCAGTGAACCTCTTGATTCCAGATGTTTACAAATCTGTCTGTTTATGCACTATTTTACCCCCCCCCCCCCCCCCCCCCCCCCCCCCCCCACCTCCCCAGTTCTGGAATCATCCACCATTAGTGCTCCAGGGTCACCGTGGGGGAGGTAGCAGCTGTGTGGGTCAAAGCACAGCAAGTCTATTAATAGCCACACTCTGCGTCACTGTGCAGTGCTTTCCCAAAGGGGGGGGAGGGGGGGGGCACCGCTCAGAGTCCCAAGAGGAAGCCCCATCCTCATCCTTAATCTATCTGTGCTACCATAATCGAGGTTTTCAGGGAACTGGTGACATTTCCGCACCAAGGGAGTCGACGTTGTCATGCTTCCCAATTAAACGACAGAGTCCCAGTTCCTGACGTCACCTCCGCACCGTGCTGATTTCCGTAGAGGTCTCTTTGACCTTTTTTAATCGCCTTCGTCTTTCTTTTCTAGGTCTCTGAGAGACTGCCTAGTAAGATCTTTGGGGAGGCCAGCTCAGATATGTCAGCAAAGTGTCTCATTTCATAAAAACACCATCGATCGCGCAGATAGTGGGTGTTTCCCACACTCACCTGCAGAGCTGGTATCTTCTCCATCATATGAGCTCCTCCGTGGGAGGCAGTAGTTACAGCTCAAATCAGACCTCCAGATGTTACAATCTCCAGTACTTCCCATAGACTGACTGAATGACCACCTAGTAAATGATGGCTGCTTTATGAAAGGGGTTTGCGATAATGGTGAATGATGATTTTAGTGTTTCAATCAGAGGTGGATAGTTCAGAATCCATCCATCCATTCATCCAGCCATCAATTTTCTGAAACAGCTTATCCTATTCAGGGTCACGGGGGGGGGGGGGGGGG